GGTTTGAACTCAAGGCTTTGCACTTGCAAGGCAAATGCTCTACCACTTGAGCCATGCTCCAGCTCACGCCAGACTTTTTGAACTAAGGTATTGCCATCAACTGTTCAGTTATCTACAATTTCTTTCTTTTCTTTCTTTCTTTCTTTTGTGGTACTGAGTATTAAACTCGAGCTTGCACTTGCTAGGCATGCACTCTATCACTTGAGCTATACTTCCAGCTCTCTATTTTCTCACTTATTCTTCACTTTACTCTGATTAGCCTAACCCTACCTTTAGTAGGGTTGAAATCACTAACCAAGGTCATGAATGCCAAGTCGTTATTCAGTAAAGGCTGTGGACATTTTCAGTATTTTTCTTGTTTGACTTCTTGGCAGCCTTTACCCTGTTAACACAATGTCCCCTCTGGAACTGCCTCTTGGCATCCAAGACATCAGACTTTGGAAGTTTCCTTTGCTTCTCTGGATGCTCCTTTCTTCACCTGTCCTTGCTCAGGACTTGTTCCCTAGTTCCTTCTTACTGTACACTTTCTTCCCAGGTGGTCTCACCCGTTCCTGTAGCTTCAATTGTCGACAACTCTTTTTAAAAAAATATTTTTTTTTTTGGTGGCACTGGCATTTGAAAACTCAGGGCCTCATGTTTGCTAGGCAGGCACTTTTACACTTGAGTCCCTCCACCAGGCTGTCCACAACTCTTGAAACTTTTGTCTAGCCCTGACCTCTTCTCTGAGCTTCAGGATTCATATATCCACTCCATGTGGATGTATTTTATTTTATTTCATCATTTTTATATTCTTACATGTGTATACATTATTTGGCCCACTGGCTCTCCTCCCTGCCACCCCCCATGTAAATGTCTTAAAATCAGTTTGTCCAAAGTACAATTCATTGTCTTACTCCCAAACCACATTTCCTTTTTTCAGACTCCTCACCTCTAACATTTGCAGGGCTGTGGGCAGGAGTAGAAATGGAGGCCCACATACCTTATGTCACAGTACTTGACAGTTATCACTCATGACAACTGTTAAATTATGTTCTACTTTGTTAATCCGACAAATAAACCTTTGTAACAACCTAGGTCAGATTTTTTTTTTTTTTCTGGCACTGGGGCTTGAACTCAGGGTCTTCACCTTGAGCCACTCCACCAGTCCTATTTTTGTGAAGGGTTTCACTATTTACCTGGGCTGGCTTTGAACTGTGATTCTCCTGATTTCTGCCTCCTGAGTAGCTAGGATTATAGGTGTGAGCCACTGGTGCCTGGCAGAAGGCCAGATTTGAATTTAGAATTCTTGTACTTCCTAGAGTGCTGGATTGGGATGTGGTAGCTTGGAGAGAACTGATGATCCCTGGGCCCCAACCTCATTCTGCATCTCTTCTTTTCCCATCTGGGCTTGGTCCTGCACTGCAAGGGGCCTGGTACACAGGCTTTTGAGTGCCCGCAGCCCATGTGTCCAAGCTCTGCTCATATTTCCCAAGCTGCATTTCCTTCTGTGATCCTCCTGAGTGGGGTTGGGTCAGAACTCTGAACCTGAGCATAAGAAAGAAGAAGGGTGGGCCCAGAAAGAGGAATTGAAATTTGAGGTCAAGGTCAAATCAAGAAATGAGACCAAAAGGAAAAAAAAAAAAAAAAAAGAAATGAGGCCAACCCCATGAAGAGGGCCACTCACAGAAATGGGCTGGGAGAACAAGCAGTGTGAGGAAATGGCCAGAAAAAAATGTCCTCTGAGACAAGTATAAGGATCCACCTTGACTGGGCCTAGGAATGGTCATTTGTGCATTCTTGGGGAGGACAGCAGACATATTCTGGGTGCTCCATTCATTGTCCCTTACATGCAAGCAGTTAGGGCTTCTGTTTTCTTACTAAATAACTTGAATGAGTTTCTCCTCACTTACAGTTCATGCTATTATTTCCCACCTGAGTGACTGCAACAGCCTTTAACTCATCTCCCTGCCTCACTCCTGTTCCCTTGAATCCAGTTTCCCCACAGTAGCTGGAATGATCTTTCTGAGCATAAATATGATTACTCCCAATTTGAAATCACAAGTTTCACCGAGCACAGTGGCTCATGCCTGTCATTCCAACTGTGCAGTAGGTGGAGATGGGGAGAATCACGGTTGGAGGCCAGCCCAGTCAAAAAATTAGCAAGATTCCACTCAACCAATAAGCCAGGCGTGGTGACACGCACCTGTCATCCCAGCTACTTGGGAGGCATAAATAAGAGGAGAGCAGTTCTGGTGGGCTAGGACAAAAATGCAAGATTTTAGAGTGCCTGTCTAGCAAGCATGAGGCCCTGAGTTCAAACCCCAAGACTGCCAAAATAAATAAGTAAGTAAATAAATAAATAAATTACGAATTTCTGCTTATTGACGTTAGGTGCAAGTCCACTTTCCTTAGCATGTCAGTCACAGTGACATAGTCATCCTTTAGCTTATTGTTCACTTTTCGCTGGCCCCCAGCACACGCACACGCACACACACACACACACACACACACGTATCAGAGACAGCATATCTGTTCCAACACCCACACCACACACATTCATATCTACAGCCCTCATCACACACACATGGCAGCTCCCACACACATTCACATCCACGTACATACACTCACACACTGCACTCTTAAAGCACACCCACTGCATTCCCTCACATACTCATGCATTGCCCACACCCATTCACACACACCTCAGCCACTCACACCGCATGCTCCACACCTCCACATCACTGCACACACGTAGGTACCACACGCTCACACACACAGGCTGAGCTTTACCACACCCATCTCTTTCTCATTCTTGCAACCCCCCAGGACCAGGCCTCTGTCCAAACCGCACTTCCTCTTGGAATGCTGCCTTCTGCTCCAGAAACCCTTTCCTGATCCCTAAGCTTGATCATTGGGACGATCTCAAGTAGTTCAGGGATTCCTGAGAATCAAATCTAAAAGTTGATCAAAGTGGCACACACCTTTAATTCCAGGAGAATCATGAGGTAGATGCCAGCCTGGGCTACATAGTAAGATCCTGTCCCTACCCCCCCACCAAAAAAAAAAGCCAAAATAAAACAAAAAAATCAAACCTACGACTTGTTTGGTTATCCTGGGAATAGGACATTGGAGTCTAGTTTTGTTGCTGTTATTTGTTTGTTTTTGTAGTACTGGGAATTGAACCCATGGCCTCATGCTTGTTAGGGAAGCAATTCTACCACTTGAGCTACACTCCCAACCCAGCTTCTTAAACGGTGAGATTTCTTAAACATTGCACCTCCCCCATGCATATTATTTTTGTCACCCTGTCTGTTGTCTCAGGCTCATTTATGATACAACATTTAAAATAGGAGGAGACTGTGTGCTTGTGATCACTAGTGAAATGAAGACAGCCTGCCACAGCCAGGCTGTATGGTAGGAAACCTCATGCATAGGGAGCAGGAGAGTGAGACAGCAGGGAATGAGCACTGGTGTCAGGGGCTTTAGCTTCCCTGGTGCCCAAGGTCTCAGGCACATGTCTAGTTTGGAGTGAACCAAGTTCTAGGGATTCACTGAACCTGCAGGCTCTTCTAAGGGAATCTTCACTTCTAATGGGATGTTGAAGTACTGCAGTGGATGAGTTGGCTGAAGGTGCAAGGGCAGGACCTGAACCCAGAGCCTGGCGGTAGCAGTGATTGACATGAGTCAGGAAGCAGAGACTGACCAACCTTGCTTGGGAACTCAGGAAGAGAGGGGTTATCAGTATCCAATGGCAGGCAGAGGTAGAGAAGGACATGCGGCACTTAGGGGCCAACCCAGGACCTTTCCAGAACATCAGTGCGTGCTGGGGTCTTGCCAAGCCATAGGGGCTTCATTGGGCAGAGACCAGAAAAAAGCAGAATGTAAGGAGGAGGCTAAAACTCAGAGTCTGTGTGTGAGTGTGTGGTACTGTGCTCTGTGATGTGTGTGGAGCATGTGGTGTCAGAGTGTGGTGTGTGTGTGAATGTGCGTGGAGAATGCATGAATATGTGAGTGAATGCAGTGTGTACTTTAGGAGTGTGTGTGAGTGTATGTCTGTGGCTGTGAATATGTGTGGGAGCGCATGTGTGTGATATGTACGAATGTGTGTGGTTTGGGTGTTGAACAGAGAAGAGGCAGGTAGAGAGGGTGATATGCAGGCCTGTGACAGAGGGCAAGTCACGGCAGGGTGGGTAGCAGGAAGGAACACAGCCCTTTTCTAGGATAGGACATAACAGGGAGAGAAGTGGATGTAGCAACAACTTCCAGTGTTTCATCACTTGTTTACATCCTCGGTAATCTTCCTCAGACTCCTTCGGCCAAACCCTGGGAGCTTGCTGCCCCCTGTTCTTCTCCTGCTATCTTCAGTGCTAACTACAGCTTCCCATTTTTCCAGCCCCTCTCACCACACTCATCTGTCACTTCCTGGCCTCTGAATGCACACTCCCCTCCCATTCCTACGCTTAGGCCTAGCCTGCCGATTGTCACTTCATCTGCTTTTCTGTGCACACCTACAATTTCTTCGCCTGGTCTTCTATCTCATCCTACAACTTCAGCCCTGCAGCTTCTGTCACATACTAACAAATTCCAAACCTCAAATTTCGGTCCTGGTCTCTCTCCTCAGCTTCTAGATAATGGGTCACATCTTGGCAGGAGAGTAACGGGAGAAAGATGGAAGTACTAGTAATGAGTGTTGAGGGGGCAAGAGGGCAAGGAATGAAGGACAGGGGTGGGGAGGCTGAGGGTTAGTGACTCATTGAACCCAGTAGGGCAGCACATTTGGATTCCAGAACTGGGAAGTTCTCAGTCTATGTAGTGCTACCTAGAAGTTCTGTTGAAGGGACCAGGTGAGCAGGATTGGGCCTAGTTTTGCCCTTTCATCCATATGGTCCTGTGTCCTCAACATCTCTTCAGCCAGTGGGCCTCCCCAAGTTTGTTACTAACCGTACCTTCCCTCCATGATTTCCTGAGACACCAGCACAATGCCTCTCCAGTGTCCTTGAAGCCAGGCCTCTGATAGTTACCCTGGTTAGCTCCTGCCGTTGCCTCACCAAGCCCATTCGTGAACCCGCTGATGCTGAGGCCACCTGCCTGAGTCTTGATTGCAGACTTGAGCTCATGATTCTCCCGAATGAGCCGCACTAACTTCTTCAGTTCCTCATTTTCTCTCACCAGCCTCTCTATCTGATGCCGAAGTCCCTCATAATTGGTAAGCAGAGACATGCCCTGGGGTAGCAGAAAGGGCACAGCCCACAGCAGGGCGCTTCACCTGGAGGCTGCCCAGGGCCCCGGGCCTTGCCCGGGCTGGAAGAGGGCCCCAGAGTCTGCAAGGCTAGCCCAGCGGGCTCTGAGTATTGTGAGGTCAGAGGCTGTGCCCTCTCCTTGTCCTCTGCTAAGCTCAGCTCTCTGTGCCTCCAGGCCTGTGCACAGCCCCTGTGCACAGCCTTGGCCTGGAATATTCTGAAGACTTCTCTGTCTGGCTAGCTTCATGGTCAAGGTGCCTCCCCTACAAAGCCTCCATTCCTCTACTGCAAGGTAATCGCTGTCCCTGGCCTTTTGAAGCAGATATGCCTGTGTGTAGCACTTACCCTGGTTCTCTGTGGTCAGCTCCTTAATGCTGTCCACTGACTTTACAGAGAAGACAGGGATCATGCTTCTCTCTGGAATCCCCAGTGCCCAGCTTGGTGTAGGGGGGTAGCCAATGAGTATTTGTTGAATGCGAACTCACCGCCCTGCCTATCTGGGCAAGGTTCCCATTCCTTGTAGTCTTAAGCATGCCTGGATTTACACTGTCAGCCAGTCTTCTCCTGAGGAGGCTGTGTCCCAGAGGACTGAATATCGGTCTATGATTTCTTCTGACCCTGGTGCTCAGAGTCCTTCTCTGGCTCTTAGCCCCGGGGCTCCCTCATCCAAGCACCTGGCTCCCTGCAGCTTGGAGCTTCCATTTCTGTTGGCTCATGTTCTTCTACTCTGAATCCCTGGTGTTGCCTCCTCTGCGCCTGGGTCTCTGTTCCCTAGCTCCTTGAATCTTCCTGACTTTAGTCCTCCAGGAACTCTAGACAGCCTTCCTCATCTGCTTCCAAGAACTCAGGACTCTGAGTCCCCATGGTGGTCCTTTCTTTTGGATCTTTCTACAGAGAACTCCACAGGCCTGATCTTCAGAATCACAGGAGGCCCATATCCTCATGACCTCCACTGGCTTTCGGCTCTCAAACTCTCCATGGGGCAGAGAGAAGAGGGTGAGGTCCAGACACAGGCCAGCAGGCAGAATCTGGTAGAGTGGAGGTGAGGAATGGGAGGAGAGCAACCGGGGCTGGGTTCAGTCTGAGTTGAGCATTCTACGTGGACCTCACAATGGGGGGGCCTGCCCACCTCTGATGCCTCAGACTGTAATCCCAGCTGAGTCACCCTGGCCTCAGGGACCAGAGCAAGTTCTCTTCATTCCATTCTCTAACTTGACAGGGCATCTGTGCTGGACTTTCCTCCAGCATGTGAAAATAAGCTTATCATGGTCTTGACCCTGTTGTTCCTCTGTTGTATTGTTTCCCTCCTTGAGTCTGCCATGGTTACATTTTACGTCAATTTGGGTAGGCTAGAGTGCCTAGGTGTTTGGTCAGACACTGTTCTAGACATTGCTGTGAAGGTGTTTTGTATATGTGATTAACATCTATGCAATGTTGACCTTTTAGTGAAGGAAGTTACTGTCAGTCATATGGGTGGGCCTCATCCAATCAGTTGAAGGATTTAAGAGCAAAAATCTTAATGTAAGAACTCTGACTGATACACTATCTCTATTTCCATTTGTACTAGTGCTTCTTTTCTCCATGTATATATATATATATATATATATATATATATATACACACACATATATATGTATCTCTAGTCATAAACAGGCATTGTCCCTGCCTTATCAACCTTGCAATATATTGGGGAGCAGCTATGATCTGAACGATCACAGTGAACACATGTAAATGTTGAATCACCTCTGTGATGAATGCTGCCAAGGCACATGGTGCTGGGAGAAGGTGTGGTGGGTGGGCTGGACCAGTTGGATCAGGTAGCCTTCCCTGAGGAAGTGAAAATCGAGATGATGTGAGGAGGAGGAGCTTTCAGGCCAAGGAAACAGCCTGTACAGAGGCTGGGGTGGTGGTGGTGGGGGGAGTGTGCTCTGTAAAAGGAACTGCAGGGATGGTGGAATTGAGGAGGAGGATAGCAGGCATGGGTGTTGGAGAAGGATGGAGGAACCAGGTCATCACAGGGATGAATGTTGACCTTCATTCTGAGGCCTTCGGAAGCCCCCTCAGAAGGGCTGTCAGGAATGGGGTATGGGAACGGATTGGAGGAGAAAGAGCTGCTGAGTGGCAGAGGAAGGAGGACACAGGATGAGTATCCCAGCAAGCAATGAGGAAGCTTGGATGCAGGTGTACTGTGGAGGCGGAGAAAGTAGGCAGGTTGAGAAGCAGGTAGAGGTACTGGATGGAATTGTCTTGGGGATGGAGATGAAGGTGAAGGCAGGGATGACCTTGAAGTTTCTGGCATGAGTGGTTTTGCCACTGATTATACCAACCCAACAGAAGGGAAGGTAAGTTTGGAACAGAGAGATCCTGAGTCAAGTTTGGATGTGCTGCTGAGATGCAGAGATCAGGAAGCTATGTCAAGGAAGCAGGAGTCACTGCTCTGAGTCGCAGAGTAGAACCTACTTTGTGGGCTGGAAAGGTACTTTTTGGAGTCATCAGCTTCTCAGTGAGGTCAGCCAGAGATAGATAATGAACCAGAGAGAATGGGCCATGAGCCCATTGGGCCTAGAAGAGCAGGGACGAGGCTGCAAAGGACACAGAGTGGAAGAGCCCATAGGGATGGGTAGAAGACCTGAGGAGACTGGACTGAGGAGACATATACAGAGGACATTTCTATGTTCTGAAGCAGCAATGCTATTTAGTGATGAGACAAGACTGAAAGGTGCTTCAGCCCTGGGGACTAGGAAGTCACTAGTGACAGTAAACACTGTGTGGGTGGATGATTTGGTCACTCCTGGTTCAACAGATCTGGCAAGCAAGTGGGAGAGTAAAGTGGAGATGAGAGCTCTGTGCAGCCCTTCTCAGGATTTGTCTGTAGGAAGAGGAATGTGGCAGAGCTGGGTAAACCCTTCCTTCTCAGTGCTTTCCTCTCTTGCAGCCTGGTGCCAGAGAAAACTGTGGCCCCTGTGCCTAGCCACCCATGCCTCTGCTGCCTCCAGCTTCTCCTTATAGTTGTAGATTACAACTTAGAGTTGGGTCCCAAGGCTCTCCCCAAAACACTGAGATGCTCTCTTGTCTCCTCTCTGTGCTGACAACCATCTGCTCGCTCCCTCTCCTTTTATTTCTCCTTCATTCCACATCTAGGGAATCTGGGACAGAGAAAAGTGAAAAATTAGAGATGGGGGATTCATCTAAAAGTTTATCCATGTCCATTTGGATCATGTGTTTGGGGGCAGGGTGAGAATCTGGGCAGTGGGAGGTACTGGTCTTTGTGCTGTCTGTAGTCCAGCTGTCTAGGCTCTTGGACAGTGTCTCTTGAGAATGGGCCAGGGTTGTTAACTGCGGGGAGGTTGGACCTGCAGGAGTGACAGGAATCTCCCTGCATCCCCCAGGGTTTGCCTTCCGCACAGACTCCTTAGGAACTCACTGTGAACAACCCTTGGTTTTGCCCCACTCTGTGTGCTGAGTCATACATGCTCCCTTGGGTCTCGGGTCACTGGATTTGACCAGTTTGTCCCCATTCAGATTTGCCTCATTGTATTCAGCTCAGCATTCTTGCCTGGTGGTCCTTCAGGGATCTTTGCTCCCCTCTTGGAGTGGGATTCTTTGTAGGTTTAGCAAGTTTCCTTTTCAAGCATGAAGCTGCTGAAGAACTTGGAGCCTTTAATTTGGAGTTCTCTGCCCACAACCCTCTCACTTCTCACCCTCCATCCCTCACGTGGACAGGCTGTGATGTGCCGCCCCAGGGTGCTGAGAGGTGCTCCTGGGAAGCAGCCATGTATCACACATGGCCCACACAATACTGGCAGCACTGGCCATGTGACCCTTCCATTCCTGACTGCAGTGGCTGCTTTTAACCTCCTCTGCTAGCATGGGGTTACATCCTGGCAGGAACTTGTCCAGTCTGTGCTTCCACAGAGTCAAGTGGTTGACTGCCAGTTGCTGAGTGTCGGCAGTAACTTCTCTCTACCCGTCTTGTACTTCAGACAATGAAAGGGCCACAGATGCATTTACTGAGTGCTTGTTGCTTGCCAGGCACTGTTGTGACAGTCCTAACAACTCATGAGGTAGAGAGTACCCCAGGCAACAGGTGAGGGCACTTGGGCGTCCATTCTTTCAGCATTGTCCCAACTGTCAAGGCCAGGGCTTGGTGTAGACACCCTGGTCTCTGACCTGCTCTTCTTACCTCCAACTTCCTCTTTTGCTGCAGCATCTCTCTGCATAGCTGCCGAAGAGGTGAAGGGATCATAATTCTGACACTCCATCAGATGTAGGCTCTTTTCAGAGTGGAGATTCAGAAGGCCATATTATGTCTTGTTCTGTGTCTCAGAGCCCAGCACAAGCCCTGGTACATAGTTGGTGCTCAATAAATGTATGGATGTCTTGTTATTCCACCTTTTTCTCTGAAAGAACCCTACCATGAAGCTGGAGAGGATGTGCTAACTAGCAGTCAGAAAATGCAAGGCGCTAACTGGTCTTCTGAGTGTTTGAGGACAGAATTCAGAGGGTTTTTTTTTTCCATGGGATTTCGATTTGAATTCAGGTGCTTACAAAGCAGGCACTCACAAAGCAGGTGCTCTACTGCTTGAGCCACACCTTCAATCCATTTTGCTCTGGTTATTTTGGAGATGGGGTATTGTAAACTATTTGCCCAGACTGGCCTTGAACCATGATCCTCCCAGTCTCTGCCTCCCAAGTGGCTAGGATTACAGGAGTGAGCCACCAATGCCCTGCTGGCCCTAGTTTCTGAGCAAGCACATTGTCCTCTTCATGCATCTAGAGGGCTTGGGAAGGCAGGCAGCCCCAGGAAAGTGGAATCATCTGCTTGTTTATGTGGGTCACCCCCGCTAGAGAGTTTCTGGAAAAAGGGGCCTCAGAGGAAAGGCTCCCGAGATCTTGGCTAGACGCAGAAACTTCTGAGAAAACGATCTTGCTCACCAACCAGAGAGGTCAGCCAGGTAGTCTTCATGAAGGGATCAGGAA